CCCGTGCCGGCTTCTTCAGCACTGGCGCTCTTCCAGATTTCCCTCCCCCAACAGTGAGAACATTCAAGAGGGGGAGAAAAAGTCCCGCCCTAGACAAACCATCTGGAACGTGCTAAACTTACAGCAACTATTTCAGAATCACGTTGATTTCAAACCCCTTTGATCTGCATACAGGCATCAAAATATTCGTATAGCAATTTTCAGTAAAAGTGTTTTTCATACCTGTGCAGGTGTGTCTGTTTCGTTAATTGGTTGTCCATCAAATCTGAATCTAATCTGCCTCATCGACAAGCCCTGCAAGTTTAAAGTAATTAATATGAGAAACCACGCTTGTGCTTCTAAATCCAAACAAAACATTTACAGATTTACTGTCAGAACAAATATTAACAAAATTAAGACTCCAAAGATTTAAATGGACGGAACACTTAGTACATCTATCTTGCTACATAAATCAAGGAAGCGGAGCCGTTTGAGGGAAGTCCTGCTGCGCTGCTGTGGCAGCAAGGACCCTACGTGGAACCATAAGCGCGGGTTTGGCACCCGGTTCTGATCCTGCTCTGCAAGGCACAAATACAGAAAGTTAATTTACAAAGGTAATTTAAGAAGAGATCATTCAATGCACCTTCTATAAAGCCTCACAGGACGTGTCGGGAAGGAGCAGCAATTGTTTCTCACACCATCAGACAAGTAATGGTAGATTAAGTTGACTCAAAGCAAAACATTTGAAAAAAAATCTGAAAAAACTACTTTTTTGTGTAACTAGCTATCAGCACCGACTACCCATAGTTAAGACAAATTTTCACTCATGACAGGCATGTGCTCCCAGTTCTAGTTCTCTGTATTTCTGATGAAAAAGGGAACCATGAAAAAGACTGTTTGAAGAAAAAAAACTTGCAAGACTCGACACAGATAAAAATCTGCGTCTAAAAACTTGCAAGGTTTGTTAAACAAATGCTAGTGTCTAACATTAGTAAGTCAACGTTGCCCTTAAAACCCGAGCTGAATTCATGACTAAACCCTGTTTTGACAGCGTTCAATCACACGAGGCAGTCCTTATTCCCTGCCTCGGGGATCAGGGTCCTTTGCTTTGCCCTCTGAAGTCCTTCGAAATCCCCGCGCGATTCACGCTTCCAGACACACACAGAGCCACACCAACACAAAGACTTGCCGCGCCGCTCCGAAGATCCCACGTATCCAGCTCTCGTTCCCGACCTGAGAGGCGTTGTGCCACATCAGGCACGGGACAGGGCACAGCACGAGGTTCAAGCAAGCGACGAAAGGATCCCGCAGGTAACGGACAAGGGGAAACGCCAGCAAACAAAACCTGACCCCGCTCCGAAAGCCATTCGCATCCCCACCCTCTGCTCCGCACCACCGAACGCAGTGCAGAAGCACAGGCGCCAAGAGCTACAGGCTGAGGAACTGGGCTGCGGGGGTGAACCCCGCTCCCGCTTTGCTCAGGGTGGCACCGAGAAAGAGCCACTGGCACGGAGCAGCAGTTCAAACTGCGCAGCGGGCAACAGGAGAGATGTGTGACGGGAGGAGAAGAAAACCCACAAGGAGAACTTGTTCTGTGCCATTTTCCGAACAGAAAGCACACACTCTGGA